CACATGGGTGTATGACTATTACACATGGGTGTATGATTATTACACAAGGGTGTATGATTATTACACATGGTGGGTATATGGTTATTACACAAGGGTGTATGATTATTACACATGGTCAGTTAGTAAATTGTAAAGTTAAGTTAAAACTTAGCTAAACTTCACTGTCCTCTCAAAATGTAATTATATAAAGACCACACTTAAAAGCATCGATCTTACCTGACTTTTACGTAATCTGATAGTAGCCATCTAAATATAGCTTTGGTGGCATGTGTCATAAAGCAGCGGCCTTTGAATTCTGTTTTCTCCAAAAAGAAAGGTAAAGCACCACAATGATCGAGATGGAAACTGAAAAAGAACACAAACAAGCGTTCAATAGGTGTTAACATTGTTGTGATCATCTTATTTTACTTTAAGGTTGAGTGTCCCAGCACTCTGCGTTGTATCTCCAACAAAGAAGAGTTCCGTTAGATTAATATTTGTCCGACTTTACTCCGTGTTAAATACTTAAGATAAGAGTTCCCCACTGCGTTTCTACTTTCTATAATAGTATAATAGCTTACCATCTGCTGTTAGAAAGTCAAATACCATGGCCAAGTTCAAGGGGGACATAAAAACTCACCTCTTCACGTCTGCATTTTAGAATCTTTGCAAAGACGTCATGTAAATACCACCCTTTTATTTGTTCAATTATGTGCACATTGCTTGTTAAATGTATGAAAGTGATTGCAAGCCTTTGTTGTTTGTGTAACCAAGGTAAATAATACGGGTACGACAGAGTCTTCACGCGCGCGCATTGCGTCACGTCACAGGTAGTGGGAATCCGTGCTCCACGGATTCCACGTCTACCCGTGACCACCCTTACCTGACACATCACCCGACCCACACACTCTAGCTATCACCCGTTGAGAAAGGAGCTCTCAATTGCACATTACCAAGCATCACCCCATAGTCCCTGGTAAGTCTGTGTTTTATCATTACTTCATTCCATTTCTATGTATTCATATTCATGTCGTTGTAAATGAGTGTATATGATAGTGTGTGTACAGCGAGAGTGTATTTATACCTGTTACATATTATTGTTACAGGCTCCCTTGTACTCATCATCATCATCATCATCATCATCTACATTATTGAATAAAGACATCAAAGTATCATCAAATAGTCTCGAGTTCTACATTTGTTTTCACAATTATAACTATTACTATTATCCATGTTGTAAAGCGCCTTAGAGTAATTTTACAAATTATATAGGGCGCTATATAAATGTTTTATATTATTATTATTATTATTATTTCTACCGGTCATAAAAAGTTATTCCGACTCGGTTTCCTTCATCTACATACACAGACAATTATAGGTTTAAGGGAGTTAGAGCATTTTGAAAGCATCCTTAGTGAAGGGACAGACGAGTATAATTGACAAAGCATAACAGCAGGATCCCTTTAACAGTTCCTGAGATGAACACTTATTATTGTTGACATTGAGTTCAACTGTAATCCCTGTTTTTTACAGGTGTTTATAACCATCACTTACTGACTCATCAACAGTAGATCAATCTCTTCCACATCCACCAGATCTAAGAAAGGAAGGGAGGCCATGCCATTCAGTCCAGGATGTATACCACAGTCCAGCTGTAGTAGATAATGTAAAAGATCATTAAAAAAAATGTAATTTCACTTTCATGTGGTCAATTTGGATTCAAGCGAAACTGAACACACATTATCACAACCAAGTTTCCATTTTCATACACGTCTGATATTTAGTAAATATGCACATAAGTTATGATAATGATTGTATTGAAAAACTTTGCTTTGACATTACCATAATTTTCTTTCCTTTGAACTCCAGAAGGTGACATGACCGGCCCACCTCTTGCCCTGCACCCCTACAACATCAAATATATCACATGAAGTTACACACAATAAATTTCCAATACTATTTTTGTTTATTTCATCACCTTTATTTCTTCATTAAAGTCCTGTAAGATATGGTTTTCTTTTCAGAAATAAATTATCAAAGTTATTGTCACGGCATAGAAAACCAATTCATACATTTTTTGTTAGTTGTACAGAAATCCTGAAGGAACTGTTAGAAAAAAGGAAAAGTTGTCCTTCAAAAGATTTGGTGTAAAACAATGGGCATTATATTGAGATTAACATCAGCCATACATGGCCAGTTAAAATCTGTTACATACCCAATTTGACTGCAACCAAACCCCTGCTTGGTAATAAGACACCCCATCCCCTCCTCCTCTTATCTGGAACTTAATTATATAAACTTATCCAGAAACATAACCCCATTTTATGATTTCCTAACCCAAGACTTTATTTCTGTAAAACGACAAGCTCATTTGTAAAGGTCCACTGAAACATTAAAATGGGCATCCCTCCTTTTTGTACACAAAATTAACTAGAACACTGACAGGTCAGTAAGGGCCCCGTCTTGTGACAATATATCCCCCATAATCATCAAGAAGCAATCTGTCCAGACAGCTGAGCTTGACGTTTGACATTTGGAGTCCAAAAAGAATCGCAAGGAAGCAAAATATACATTTTACATGTACTATGATGTGAGTCTTGTTTCCTTCCACTTCCATATTTGCTGGGCTAACAGAAATGTAAATACCGGTGCAATACTCATTTGTAAGCTTTAATTTGTTTTATTTCACCTTATATACCTCCTCCATCAAGAGCCAGGTTCAAAGTCAGAGACCCACTTTGTCTTTGACATTTGGACCCAAATGACCTTGACCATTAACCCAGTGACCCTGATCTTTGGTCAGTTGACTGATTCTTTAATTCCGACCAACTTTGCTTCATAATATCATAACAAAACGTTCATCAGTGAAAAATACAAAACTTGACCTTGACCCTTTGGACCCCGTAACATGGACCTAAGGTCAGTTGACTCTGTGTTAAGTTCTGAACAAGTTTGCTACATAATAACATAAAAAAAAGTTCATCAGTAAAAAGATATAATAATTGACCTTGACATTGACCATGACCTTAAGTCAGTTGACTCCTTTTTAAATTCGGACCAACTTTGCTTTGTAATGGCATAACAAAATGTTCATCAGTGAAAAGATACAAAATTTGACCTTGCCCTTTGACCCAGTGACCTTGCCCTTTGGTCAAATGACTCCTTGTTTAATTCCAACAAACATTGCTTCAAAGTGTCATAATGAAATGTTCATCAACAAAAAATACTAAATTTTACCTTGACCTTTGACCGAGTGACCTTGACCTTAAGTCAGTTGACTCTTTGTTAAATTCCAACCAACTTTGCTTCATAAAGTCATAAAAATATGTTCATCAAGGAAAAAATACAAAATTTGATCGTGACCTTTGACCCAGTGACCTTGACCTTTGGTCATTTTACTCCTTGTTTAATTCTGACCAACATTGCTGCATAATGTCATAACAAAATGTTCATCATGGAAAAGATACAAAATGTAACCTTCACCTTTGACCCAGACCTTTGGTCAATTGACTCCTTGTTTTATTCTGAGCAACATCGCTTCAAAGAGTCATACCAAAATGTTCACCAGTGAAAAGATACATAATATAACCTTGACCTTTGACCCAGTGACCTTGACATTTGGTCAGGTTGACTCCTTGTTTAATTCTGATCAACTTTGCTTCATCATGTCACAACAAAATGTTCATTAGTGAAAAGATGCAAAATTTGACCTTGACCTTTGAATCTAATGACGTTGACCTTTGACCTTGACTTTTTACCTCAATGTGTATTTTTGTGAACTGAACATCTCGACCAAGTTTCATGTACATCGGTCAATAAATACCAAAGTTATCAGCCAAGAACAAAATTTGTGGACGGACAGACAGATTTATTGCTTTAGGGCAACCGTATCAATAAAATGCCAGAAAGATACTTAACTTATAACTATACTTCGGTTGCTATGCTGTGTCATTTACAATAATATGATCATGTTAATTCTTAATAACACACTGTGACATGTGTAAGAAGGGAAAATATACTGATGTCACAAATAATGAGGAAAGGCAATATCAAAGACATTGAAGAATCTCACAAAGTTCTGAAGGTTGAGATTTCTGTCATAGCCTTAAAAATTACACTACTAGGGGATGATACTTTTTCTCCCATTCTATCGATTAGTTTGTGCAATTGGAGACATTGTGCAATTGGGTACAATTCTAAAGAGTGGTGATAAAATTTAAGAAAATGTAAGTTCACTTGCAATGCTTGATCACAATATATTTCATTCAAACAGACTAATTTTATACCTGTTGTCTTTTACAGACAAACACATTTCAGTTGTGTTCAAATACATGTACATGTATGTTCCACTTTAATGTCTAAATGGACAAGTCATTATAAGATTTAAAAGAAATGTTAGTCCTACGATACCTTCAAATCTTTCTGAAATATCCACTAACTTAGCTGTACACTCAGCTGATCCCTGAACAGATCATAACTTTCAATTCAATTCAAGTTTATTCGGTAAAAAGGTACAACAACATAACAATTTCATACAGTACCCTATACATGTTTTGGCACTAATAATTTATATGGCTGATTACATTATAAAACATATTAATGTAAAATTATATAAGTCTCTAAAAACAAGTTATCACAATTTTATAAATTACAAGGTAGGTAACGGTTATTCGTACGAAAAATAAAATGACTAAAATAAATGTTGCTCTTAAAACCAGGATTACTCAGAAAGCCCTGAAGCTTATTTCCACTGGGGTCAATTAAAAGACACATAAACACTACTTTCTCTTAGTTCCAAAGAGGATGCATTCAGTTTTCCCCAGATGTAGTGACAGTTTGTTATCAACTAGCCAATCTGTTTTTTTGTTGTTTTTTGGTGGGGGGGGGGTTCGGAAAGGAAACTGTTTTTGTTTAATAGATTTTACCCTGACTATTATCAACACATACTCTAGAACTATAACGCTAACATGGCACTTAAATTCGCTGAATTGGATGATGTTATACCATACGAAGCATTTCATATACTAATATTTACCATATAATAACGTTTGTGCGAAGTCTGTTCACCATCGTGACTCTAACCGGAAATCAGACACTGGATTATAATACAATTTTAATAAGAATAGAGTACGGACAATAATATCCGGAAGTTTATTTTTTTATATCAAAATGTGAATTTATACTTATTTGTTAATATATATATATGTAAGACGAATACTGATACTTGATAGAATATTTTGAACAGTATGTACATTATTTAAAGGTGATTATTGACGCCCATGTACATTGTATGTATATTTATATATATGTTTATGTCATAAAATTTTGAAAATATAATAATAATAAAAAAACAAGAGGCCCAGAGGGCCTGTATCGCTCACCTGAATATGTTTAAAATAATTGGTATGAAGTAGGTGCAGCTGTAAGTAGATATGAAATTTCAGAAAGATCCATCCAGTACTTGAGATATATATAGCGAGAACAAACTTCAAACAGAGCCCCACCCCTATATGCAACCTAGGGGGGTCCCATATAAAATAAAATCCCATAATCCCGACGGTCAAAGAAGTATTTTAAGACCTCTATTTCTCCTATTGGGCCCCGCCCTTCTGCCCCTTGGGAGACCACACCCACTGCATGCTTATACAAAATTGAGTCCCATTGATGCTCCAGACTAAATATTAGGATAAAATCCCTTAATATGTATGGTAGAAGAAGGATTTTAAAGGTTTTACCTATATTTCCCCTATTGGGTCCCGCCCTCTGTCTCCAGAGGGGTCAGACACACCGTTTATACAAAATTGAGTCCCTTTTGCCAAAAGATGATCCAGACTAAATTAGGATAATATCCCTTAATCCCTATGGTAGAAGAAGGATTATAAAGGTTTTACCAATATTTCCCCTATTGGGCCCCGCCCCTCAGGTCCCAGGGGGGCTACACCCACCGTTTTTATACAAAATTGGTTCTCCAAATTTGGTCAAAATCTGCTCAGTCGTTCATGACAAGTAGCGTTTTAAAGGAAAAATTGACAGACGGACGGATGACGGATGCTGCGGTATGGCATAAGCTCACCATGGTCCTTCGGTGAGCTAAAAACTAGCCAATCTGAATATGATTTTAGAACTTGGCTAAATTTGGTTGATATAAATTTTGGGTCAGAGTGAGAAAAGAGAATTGTACTGTCATTAGCATATAAAATAAGTTTGCAAGCAGGATCTATACTAATTTGCATGTCATTTACATAAGTTAGAAATAATAAAGGGCCTAAAATACCCCCTTGAGGAACTCCACAATCAACTTCAGCTTCTTTTAGATTTTATTCCATTTACATAAACAATTTGTTTTCTTTTTTGCAGATAAGACTGGAACCATTTAACAGATTTAACTCCCATAATTTCCAATTTGTTACAAAATATATGGTGATCGACTGTGTCGAAAGCTTTCTGCAGGTCAAGCATTATCATACCTGTGAATAATCCCTTAGCAGTTTGTTTTTTAATATGATCAAATAGATGAATTAAAGAAGTGTCTGTAGAATAACAACTTCTGAATCCAGATTGTAACTCATAGAGTATATCATTATAAACTAGAAAATTCAAGAATTTTGGAAAATGTGTGTAGTATGCTCACAGGTCTATAATTTTCAACTTGAACTTTATCTTTTTTCTTGAATATAGGTTTAATTTTTGCTAGCTTGAGTTCATCGGGTACTGATACAGTATTTATAGATGTATTAATGAGAAGTAGGAAATCTCAATACATCGGCCCCGTCTTTCAAAAGTCTAGCAGGTATTCCGTGTAGACCGGTGCTTTTGTAAGGGTTGATATTGCAAAGTTCTCAATGAACAAAATCTTCAGAAGTATGTTTCAGATGAAAACTTACATTTCTAGATTTTCTAGTTTTGTAAAAAAAAAAAAATCTGAGCCAAAATTAAAAATATTCTTTGGATCGGGTAGTCTACTAAGCTTGAGGCAATGGTAGTGAAAAAGTTATTGAAAAAATTGGCTATAGTATGACCGTCAAAACAGCTTTAATCCTTAATATTTAAGACAATGTTGGAATTGGATTTTTTTTTTATTTTTTTCATATAATTTTATTCCTAGATGATAGATCTTTAAATTGTTGCCAGTTTTTTGGGTTTGTTACGATTTTCTTCAACCTTGTTTTGAAAAAAAATCTGATTTTGCTGTTTTGATTACTCTTTGGATCTTATTTCTAAGTAGACAAAAAAAAATGTAGTCAAGACTCATTATTGTGTTTTTTATATTGAAGCAAGAATTTATCTCTCAAACGAATATTGTCTAAAATATCAGAGTTCATCCATGGTTCAGTTCTCTGCTTCAGTCTAATTTCTTTGACTGGAGTTAATCCAAAACTTTCATAAATATTTCTTTAAATTTTGACCAAGATTCCTCCTGACTCTGAGCACAAAAATATTCTTCCCAATTAGCATTAAGAAGCTTTTCTTTGAAGAGATCTTTGTTGTAATTTTTTGTAGATCTTATTTTCACTGTATTGTGTTTCTTAATTGAGCCTTAAGCGACATTTAAAAGCTTATCGGACGAACAAACAAACAGAACAGTTTTAATGAAAATCATATTTACAATGGCGTAATGATGAGTTCATCGCTTTCCTCAATGGGGATTCTGTAAGACTCTGTAAGGCTTTCCGTCTTTCTTTTGGTGGCCATCCTTTCTGTGGGAAAATGAGCAGCGCTGGTTAATACATTTTGCAAATGATATTTTGTCACAAAACGCGAATAGATATTAAACGAAAAATAAAATTTCAATTGTAGTGAAAAAATTACACATCATTGTGAATTTTACAGTTAATTTCTAGTGATAAAATTAATTCAATGATATGTATTCATACTTAGACAAGATTTTATTAATACTTCTTTCCGCGCAAAAATCATAAATTTGGTCAAAACCAAGATGTCTGCGCCCATTGGAACAAGCATCTTCGTGAACTGACTTTGTACGACATTAACATTTGGTGAGCATCGCGTATTTCTTAAACTTAATTAAGACTTAAAACACTGTCGAGTGAATTAATTATCTTTACGAGATTATGACATTTACAAGCAATGCAGTCAGTTATCCTTCATCGGGGTTACTCAGGGTTATTCAGGTCGGGGGTCGGGGTTACTCTAGCTGCGATAACGTAGCTTTCTGACGACGAGAGAATGTTTTTATATATTGCGTCGTCAGAGCTACGAAGCGGTCCTATGCCAACTAATGGAGCAAAATCAAAAGTGTTAATCTGTAAGATTGCATATAGTTCACGCCTCGTACGAGTATAATATTATCAAAATATTGCATAATTGTTGAAAAAACGAATCCTTACCCATGCAAAAACACTTTTACGAAATTAACAAAGTCAGGCTTGCGGAAAAAATAGAAACGACCGTCATGACAGATCACGCGTGATGTTATCTCAATTAGCCTTTCTATATATGGCCTGCATGGCCAAATAAAGTATTACTACTGATGCCATGACAGATCACGCGTGATGTTATCTCAATTAGCCTTTCTATATATGGCCTGCATGGCGAAATAAAGTATTACTACTGATGCCGCCATGTTTACTACAATTTCCATATTTGGTCATGACACCCATATTTGGACATCTGACCTATATCGGAAGAGAGATGAACTTTCCAACATGGCGGTCAATTCAGATTTCGATTACGCTTGCTACGTTAACTTGATCATTTAACGACATTTTAGGCAGAGTTAAACTTCAAGTAATGTGCAGGATATCAACAGAAATAGTTCATACTACAACCTTATTTATGGATGCGGACCAATGTGCCATCAATTAATTCTAAAATCGCCCCGGTGTGATTCACACCGGGCTTGCTCCATTACAAGGCATGGGATCGATTTAATACCCGGCCGGGCTAGAGGAGGCAGGGTATTAATATTAGTACTAGGGTTACTCAGGTTGGTTACTCCGGTCGGGGGTCGGGGTTACTAAGGTTGGGGTTACTCAGGTCTGGTCAGGTCGGGGGTCGGGGTTACTCAGGTCAGGGTTACTCAGGTCAGGGTTACTCAGGTTGGTTACTCAGGTTGGGGGTTGGGGTTACTCAGGTCGGGGTTACTAAGGTTGGTGTTACTCAGGTCTGTTCAGGTCGGGGGTCAGGGTTGCTCGAACATCGAACGATTTCATCAGTAACATCGACTTGTAAAAAATGTAGAATTGTTTCTGAACAATAAAATCCGCAGGAGATACGACAAAAATACAACATATGCATTGAAAATGTCAAATTAATTGTTTGTGCAAAAAAAGGACATCAATGCAGGTATGGAGCAACGCTTGTTGCCATTTTTTGCAAGCCTGTATGACCAGAAGGACAAAAGTTTTTGAAGCCTTCATATAGCATAGAACTAATGCACTCTAATTTTCCCGTAGGCTCACACTGCTCGGCCGATCGCTTCACGATCATCCGAGAGTGGCCACTATAAGTAATGGAGGTGATGCAATTTGTTATTCAAACAAAGATTTAGACAACTGAAATAGCATATTTCTGTGCACAATTGCATCTCATTGTATCTTTAATTGGATTATGTTGAAAGAATGACGCCCTTTTTTGCTCAAAGTTTTTAAAAGAACTTTTTGTGTTTTTTTTTCACTTTATTCCCCATTTCAGTAATAAAATTGTTATTCAAATGGGTAACTGTTACCCAAATGGAGGATTATTACCCATATGAGCCATTTTATCCAACCTGTTACTGCTAATTACCATACAATTCTTACACAATATCATTTGCCTTAGGGGAAAGTAGCATGAAATTACGATGTTTACGGTAACGTACAAGATTCCCGTTTAGGATTTCCAATGTTGAAATGTGTAAAAGTACATTTAAAGAAAATGAAGAACAAAAAAGGTAAAAGACAATCTTTTGAAGAACTGATCAAAATCCTTTCGGAGCGGAACAGGACTGGGTTGATCATAGGTGACCAGGTAGCTCAATTGGTAGAGAGCCTGTCTAGAGTTCGGAGGGTTCTGGGTTCGAATCCTGGCCTGGCCGTGCATTTTTCCTCTCATGTTACAGTGGTGCCTGTGACAAACCCTTGATTCAAGCATTTGGTGTATGCTTGACAAGGGGAAACCTGAGTCTAGGTTGTAAATAGTTGAGTCTTCAGGGACGACGAATTAGAAAAAGGAGGGAGGAATGTAGTGGAACCGGACTCAGGTAGCTCAACTGGTAGAGCATCCATCTATAGTTCAGAGGGTCCCAGGTTCGAACCCTTGTCAGGTCATGCATTTGTCCTCTCCTGTTGCACTTTAATGGTGGGCACCAAGATCCTTCTAAGATTTCTGGCTTGGGTTGGTAGTTTAACTTTACATGCTATAAACCATACTTGCCAACTTTTTGAAATTTCCACGGGGGATATTCTGCATGCTCAAAATTAAAACCTAAATAAAATGTGAGTATAAATAACCCCTAGAGACAAAATAACAATTTTAAAAGACATATTTTGAGCTGTTCTTTCAGATAAAATCATAAGTTTTTCAAAATCAATAAGATCTTCATATATAGGATTTTTTTTAGTAAATTCACTGGTTGAAAATGCTAAATTTAAGGAGTCTCCCTGATCCTAATTATGATGGCAACTATGATAAACTAACTTTGGAAAGTGGCTTAAAACACTATCTGACTGCAGGTCACATTTTTTGGATATCTGTCTGATTAATGATTAAATTAAGAATTTGGTGGATTTCCCATAGCAGACTGTCATGAAGAAATCTTCCAAGTGTTCAAAATGTATAAATTTAAGACAATTTTGTACTCTCTCTGATTCCATTACCCAAAATGGAACACTATTTAAAGGACAGACAGTTTACATACAAAAGTAACTGGCAGTATTTGAAATAATCTTTTTCATTTCCTGCAACTTTTGACACTTTCTAATAAATTATAGTCGTAAATTTGTTGAAATATTAATTAGAACAATATTTTTCTACATTTACCAATTTGGTGTGATAGTCACATTGCTGTGCTGTATGTATATAGCGTTCCTCAGGAACAGTTTCACTGCATTTTTTCAGGCTTAACTGTTGATAGTTAGTTGGTTATAATTAAAATGCTGTCTAGCGTTCTTAGTCCCAAGGTTAAAGTTCTGCTCTGGCCCTGTTGCTATTTCCTTCTCCTGTTACAGTGGTTGCCAAAATGTCAAGTATTCAAATCATACCCTGTCTTTTGCAAGGATATTTTTATCGCAAAATGTGTAAAGTCCATGAATGGTCACATCACTGTAAATCACTTTGTTTTAATGATAATAATTCAACAGACGTTGCCATGGGAATTTAAATATATTAAATGAATGATAGGTTATATACATGTACATATATTTCCTTTAATCTGGTTCTAGTTGATGGACGCCAAGTTGTCGCTGTAATTTTGTGAAGTCATAAGAAGATGCCCTCATCTCTCAACTTGAAAAAATAATTACTGAAAAGCTGGAGGCAAACAAGGACAATGAGCAGATTATGTTACCTGCTACGATTGTTTCAACAAAGAGGATTTCATAAATGTCTGAATGCATTTCAGTATAAAGACAATAAATATTACAGAACTTTATCAAAGAGAAAGCATGTTTTAAGTCATCAAGTTGTAAAACAGGCACCATTTGATTTAAATGGTCGGCTCAGTGTAGGTAACAGGACACTCGCATCACAAAGTCATGGAAAACCATGCAGTTCCTTTTCTTATGTGTGTGGAATTTGTAACAGACAAACTGATCCTCAAAACATTCTAAAGAGTTTGTTACATTGTCCGACGTTAGAAAAGACGATTGGGGTCATCAGTGTTCGTGGCTACTCTTCACCGGCTTCTGGTGTATCCTTTGAGCTTTTACAAAAATATCTGGATACGCTTAATGATGAATATGTTGAACTACAAAACAAATCCCATATTGGGAAAAGTGAGGGAAGACGGAAGAAGAGTTTGCAGTCTATGATGGAACTCCGTGAAGACTTCCTTCAGAAACTGAAAGATTATACTACTTTGACAACATTGATTTCAGGTAAACACAGATTTCTATTGCTTTGTTAAAAGTATTATGCGGCGTTCACACAGTGCCGATTATGCCTCCTGTTTGAGATCAGACAGCGCTACGACACGAAAAGCGAAAAAGTCAGATTACTATCCTCAATGATCTGGAATGTCCTATCATTGTCTGAACGCAGTCGTATTCGTTTGTAACAGAGTCCTATGGATCGGGAATGGTCCGGAGAGGTCGGCCAAGCACTCCCGACAGTTAGGTGCGTACCGTAACTTTCAGGAAACTCAGCCGATTTTGTTTAGTCGGATTACAATCGTGACTATGTCGTGACAGATTCTGCTGTATCGGATCAAAATCGTAACAATATCCTGTGTTGTCTGGATGGTGTCGTGTGGATCGGGACGCTGTTGTGATGAATGGGCAAGATTTAGAGAAATGTTTCATTGCCATTTCTAGCCGATTAGTTTCAGATTGCGTCCAGATCTTGCCGAATGCGTCGGTTCACTATCCGGTCACTGTCTGATATCTGTCGAATGGCGTTCGGGAGAATCCGGATGCTGTCGGGACAGATTCTTTTACCATGCAGAAGATACAAATATGATCAGATTTGGATTAAGAACAGGAGAATCGGGATGAATTCGGATGGAAGCGGCTGAATCAGGACGCTTCCTGAACAATATCTGATTGTTGTCGTGATTAAATAAATGCTTTTACAAATTTGTGAATTTCCCGCCACGAATCACAGGATCTTGATCAGATTTTTGACAAATTTTAATCAGGAGTGGTCCTTTGAAGGACGGCAGTAAAAATCATGAATGTGTGACTGAGGCTTTAACAAGGATTTTAATATTTTCTGCCTTATAAGCAACATGAAATGGTCTATTTTTTGGTGTTTAAATCGTTACTGTCCTGTAGCTGACACAAGAGGATCTGCTTTATTTTTTGTGATATTAAGATTTCAATCTGAAAATTCACAGTCATGCATCCTTGATATCCAGGGGTTACACACACCTTTGCTCTCTACACCCCTGGACTATGTCGTTACAAGGTTCTCGCGGTCACGTAACAGTAAAAATTGACAGGCTTTGAAGTTGGGCATCTCTCCTTTGTAATCTTCAAAGGACAGGTATCAGCCTAGTGACTGGTCAGTTTTTTTTTTTACCTGAGACCACTCAAACAGCTATCTTAATGTGCCTTCAATTTTGCTATGACATATTCCAGGGGTGCAGAGAGCGAAAGTGACACTGATAATTGAGGTTTAAAAGAAGGAATTCTCACACTAGTCAAATGTAATGGTTAAGGTAAAGAGTTAATTTTAAGTTGGCCAAATCTCTTTGTTGCGATGCTTATGTCATAAATTTCCTAGAATATTCTGTATACTAACATCGCTTACACAAATTAATTGTATCACAAATCAAATAGTTTTCATCCTTATATCAATTCTCATTTCTGTAGGACTGGGACCCGAAGATGAGGAGATTCGCTACATGGCTGAGCAGGAGAAGAGGGATTACAGAATACAGATAGAGGAATCAAAACAACAGGTTCAGAGACTTAAATCTGAAATATTTTTATTTAATCACTGATGTTTCATTATTTCACACGAAAAGAAAAAACATACTGTTAAAAATGCCACCTGAAAATATTCATTTTCTCTGTGTAAAACAGCTATAATCTCTAACCTTTGTTGTTTGTTTTGGAGCATATTCATGTGAGTGATGAGATAGGTCTTTATGATAGATACTGTCCAGCATCATACCCGAGGAAAGTACAGACAAAAACGACATCGTACTGGAGGTGTCCCAGGGGGTGGGGGGACAGGAGGCGATGCTGTTTGCTGCGGAACTCTTTGACATGTACAGAGGGCTGGCAAAGTTCAAAGGCTGGGAGTTTGTGGAGAATGTTTACGATGATGACACTATAACTGGTATGTACAACTGATCCATTACCTGGCTAATAAGTAAAGACAGATACTTTTTTGGTCACAAAGTCAAATCTCTTGCTAAAATATATTTTTCATTTCATAGTAAGGTAGCATTATTAATATATTCCTGAGGGTTTGTTTCCAAAAACAGATCCCCCTCCTATTTTTTCCAGGTCATTTATTGGGCATATTCAGGGCACCACTCCTGATAGCAAAACCTGAGCATTTCCTCTGTCCAGATTTTAAATTCCTGGACAAATGCTGATTGAAAAATAACATTTTTAAAAAACAGTACAGTCTCCAGTGATGTTTTGTGGACTACAGTTTGCAAAAGTCTCTATCACTAGAAAATAATTCTGTAAATGATAATTATGTCATGAAAATAAACCAGCTTATGCTTTGGCGTGGTGTCTACGGCCGTCTGTCCATCATCCCTTTAGGTGTCAACATCTGATGATGGGGGGCTATCCAAATCACTCCTCGTCCGTGGTCCATCCGTCATTCTGTCTGTCCATCCATCTATCCTTAAACAATTCTTAGTTAGCTATTTCTCAAAGAGTAGTAGAGAGATTTTATCTCAAATTTCAAATGAGGTTTTCCCATGGTTCCTAGTCATGCATATTGAATTTTGTGACATGATCAGAAAACCAAGCTGGCCGACTGGCAGCCATCTTTAATTTTGAAAGTTAAAATTTGTAAGTGTTGTTTTTGAGAAAGTAATGGAGAAACCTTTCTCAAATCTGACATTCAGAGTCCCCATGGTCCCTAGTTATGCATATCAAATTTTGAGACTGATAGGAAAACCAAGATGGCCAATAGGCAGCCATTTTCAATTTTGAGAGTAAAAGTTTGTTTTTAGCGCTTTTGCTCAAAAATGTTCTGGAGGAACCTTTCTCATATCACACATGCAGGGTCCCCATGGTCCCTAGTTATGCCTATCAAATATATAGACTGGAAAACCAAGCTGGCCGACAGATGGCTATAATGAAATTTCATAGTCAAAGTTTGCAGTGCTATTTCTCAGAAATTACACGAGAGATATTTCTAAAATTTCACTTGAAAGTTTCCCATGTTTCTTAGTTATGCATGTCAAATTGTTTGACTGATTGGAAAAACCAAGCTGGCCGACAGGTGGCTATCTTGATTATTTAGAGTTAAAGTTTGTTAGTGCTATTTCGCCGAAAGTACTAGAGGGATCTGTCTAAAATTTCACATGAAGGTTCCCCGTTGTCCTTAATTAACATTATATAACTTTTGGGACTGATAGGAAAACCAAGATGGCCTCCTGACAGCCATCTTGAATTTTGACATTTCTCTGTTTTCTCCAGAAGGAGGAATTGTATATATATCCCCATACATTTCTATCTTTTGCCTTTATCACACTACCATTAATGCCCCCCAATAATTTTCAAACCTGTAGAAAACACTGCATTTCAATTTTGTTATCACTATATTATATATATGTTTCCCATGTATAAAATATCCCAAGCCCTAATGAGAATTTATCTGTCATTGACGGCACTTTTAATTATGTACGAATTACATTGTTTGAGCATTTTGCATAATAGTTATGAAATTCTTGTAAAATAACACTTGTCATTGTGGCAATTCATATATGACAATACAAGGTTTAAGTTAATGTACAAGATTCCCGTAGAGGATTTTCAACGTAGGTAAAATGAAAAGCAAAAACGGTAAAAGATCATCTTTGTAGATCTCATAAAGATCATTTTATGGTGGGTGCCAATATCCTTTTAGAATCTTTGGTTTCTTTTAATAGCTTCTTCTCAATAACAAATAGGCCATAGGTGATAATATTTTGCCAATAGCATGCTAGGATGAAGGGCTAGCAAGTTGTTCAAATGAATGACCTTGACCCACTTTTAAGGTCACTGGGGTAAAATGTTTAAAACACACTTCTTTTGAATGACTAAAATGCTCAGGGTAATGATATTTGGCCAGTAGCATTCCAGATAAAAGGGCTACCAAGGTGGAATAAATGAATCATTTCATCCAAATTCAAGGACACAGTGATGGATTATCCTGGTAAGCATTTTTTTCTGGATAACCAAAAGGCCCAGGACTGTCTTTTTTGACCATAAATGAATTACAAGGTGGGATTATTGAAAACAGAAACTAACTAGTGATGTTAAGGTGTTCACTGTCTTTCGAAACAGGTGGTATAAGGAATGCTTCAGCCTCCATTAAGGGAGAAAGTGTGTACAAGTTCTTCAAGTTTGAGTCTGGTGTTCATCGTGTCCAGAGGGTACCTGCTACAGAAAGCAAAGGAAGGGTCCACACCAGCACCGTTACAGTGGCTGTCCTACCACAGCCTACAGAGGTAGAGTAGTAAAAACAA